TTGCGCGCCGAGCCGTATTTACGAGCGTCGGCGGTCGGATCGGCTGTCCTCTCCCCGCAGGAACGCGATTCCGGGTATGTAAGTCGGGATTAAGTTGTTCCGGGCCGGAGCCTCGCGATCGCTAATTGCGATCGATCACTCGGCTGCACGCGCCGGCTCGTAATTAGCGCCGCAAACGGCTGCTTATTAACGCCCCGCGGCCCCAGAAACGCATCGTGCGCTGCTCCGCGGACCGATCAAATTGCCTCCGAACAGAGTTTCCTCGCGTGTCCGTGCACATCTTAACTCGTGACATCCAAAGCAAATCGTACGTTGCAATATGTTCATAATTTTCCGCGCCTCGATCAGCATTCGAACGTTAATTTCGTTCTTGCAACGTTAATTTTCATCGACCGGAGTACAGTAATGTCTCTCTAATCGACGCTCAGATTCTGCACGAAATTGGACAATTTGGGAACAGGAGATACGATTATTCGAGCCTCGCAGCTCGTCTTTATAGTTGTTGATAATTGAGCCGTTTATTTTGAAAGTGGCATAAGTCGCTTCTTTCTTTTTCTTTTTTTTTTAAATGAAAAGATACCGTTCAATTGTAATTAGCGTTACCATTAACTCGATTTTTTTGAAAAAGTGCCACTATCAAAATAAACGGCTCAATTCGTAAAACGAGGCGCAAGACTCAAATTAATCGTGTCTCCTCTTCCCAAATTGTCCANTTCCGCGCCTCGATCAGCATTCGAACGTTAATTTCGTTCTTGCAACGTTAATTTTCATCGACCGGAGTACAGTAATGTCTCTCTAATCGACGCTCAGATTCTGCACGAAATTGGACAATTTGGGAACAGGAGATACGATTATTCGAGCCTCGCAGCTCGTCTTTATAGTTGTTGATAATTGAGCCGTTTATTTTGAAAGTGGCATAAGTCGCTTCTTTCTTTTTCTTTTTTTTTTAAATGAAAAGATACCGTTCAATTGTAATTAGCGTTACCATTAACTCGATTTTTTTGAAAAAGTGCCACTATCAAAATAAACGGCTCAATTCGTAAAACGAGGCGCAAGACTCAAATTAATCGTGTCTCCTCTTCCCAAATTGTCCATTTTTGTGCGCAATCTAAGCGTCAATAAGGGAGACATTACTGTAATCCGGTTACGAAGTCTTGAAAATTCCGTTCGCATCGGCTTCGCGTCGCGCGTCATTCGCGGCGCAAATCTTTGCGGCGTCGATCCCCGAAAATTTTGTGGCGCAGGGTGCACACGGCACGCCGGTGGCACCCTCGTATGCTGCTTCCAATAGTTCCAAACTTTCTCGATAGATGCCAGCAAAATACCTATTTCACCCCTATCGTAATCTTTTCGAACGCGAAAAAGATTAATCTCCCTTTACTCTCCCTTAACACCCAGATGAGCGAGTTGGAATCGTAGCGGCGTGCGTCGCATTTTTCTCGTTTCTTCGCAAAACAAGGAGCGTTATCGTCCACCGACTAAATTTATCGTCGAGTTAATTCATAGGAACTTTATCGTTTATTTCGTTCGTCTTCTTAACATTTTAGCACGTACAGTAATGTCTCCCTAACTGACGCTTAGATTGTCCACAAAAATGGACAATTTGGGAAGAGGAGACACGATTAATCGAGACTTGCGGCTCGTTTTTATAGTTGCTAAGAATAGATAGCTATAAAAAGCGAGCCACAAGGCTCGAACAATCGTATCTCCTCTTTCCAAATTGTCCATTAGAGAGAGTGTCAATTAGAGAGACATTACTGTATAGATCACATTTTTAGACCGAAGCTTTTAGACTAAGACTGGAGAGACCAAATCTTCGAAAATGTGACTCGGGTCGCTACGATTCCAATGCACTCAAACGTACACAGCTTCTTTAATTCTCGAGCAAGTCGAATAAAAAATCTACGTTCGCCTAAAATATAAATGGAACTTAAACCGTCTCGAAGAAGTCCGACCTCTTCAATGAGAACGATCTCGATCAAAGAAGCCAAATGTCTTATCGGGGTTTTCAAATTATTCAAACGACCCGGAATCGAGCTCCCATCCCAGTCTCCTCCTAAGAACGAGCTCCTTATCGGCGCAATTCCAACCTCGCCTCGACTCGCCTCGACTCGCCTCGCGTTCGTCGGACCGCCGTGGAAGATTAAAAATCGAAAACGACAGGGATATCCGGACAAATTCGCGGCACGCGAAGAAACGGTATCGCTCGCGATAGGTCGCACGGCGAATTGACAAATCGGGCCTGAATATTCGTATCTCGGTGGCGTGTGCTCGTTTGTACGCGAGACCAGATACCGGGACACGTTCTCGAACGGTCCCGGAACGGAGATTTCAGTCCGCGACCGGTAAACCACGCGATTATATCGCGACGATAAGCAAAGTCTCGGCCGGGCAACGAAGCAAAGCTAAATCGTACCGGTTCCCATTATACCCGGCATTATGGATCGTTAAGTCGGGCACACGACCGATCTTCCCATAAATCGCTCGAGACGCGTCTCCCGATCCATCGGACGAGCCCTCCCGATTATTTTAGCGGAGATTTTAGGGGTTCCGTGACGCCTCGCACGAAAACCCCATTTTCGTAGGTACGCGTCGTCGTTCGTGCGCCGTCTGAACTCCGCGAAATCAAAGAAACGCTGTGTCGTGACTGGAATCCACGTTCCGTCTCTGCTCGTTCGAAAGAGTCGAGTCTCTGTAGGAAATTTCGTATAACTTTTTGTCGATAATTCAAAATACGGCGAGACGCGTATCTTCATTTTTTCGCACAACTCGGCGCGTCGACTTGTTAAGCGCCGAAAGTCAACCCGAAAAATTTCAACAAAATCTAGGCAATTCGATCGAGAGGAAACGAAAACTAGAAAATTAAAATTGATCAGAGCGGATAGTATTTTAACTTGGCGCGTTAAATTTCGTACAAACGATCCACGCTATTTGTACCGATAAACGGTATAAATTGTCGAGCGTGATCGAAGTTACGGTACAAATAATAAGAAAATACTCGAGTAAAATTTAACGCTTTCATTTTTCCGTTCCGCGGTTCCGTTTCATCCAAGATTCGTGCTTGGCACAGCTTTCGGCACAGGTAAGGAACGCCGCGGCGTTTTTATTCGGCGGTTTTCGTGGGAATCCGCGGCTGTATCGACCAAATGGAGATACTTTTTCCAATTCCAAACGGCGAATTTACATTCGGCATTTTCAACTATTCATGGAAAGCGGAGTCGTATCGAACAACCGTGCGCGCGGGGGACGATAGAAAAGGATCCTCTTCGCGGAAACGATGCCGAACACATCGTCGAACCGAGTGCTCTCGTTCGAAAAGAATATTTTCCCCGAACCCGGTAACGATTCCGCGCTGGTTCGTCGCGGTCGGATCTTTCCTTGATAACCAGCCGGAATAATGGTAGCGGAATGGGTGCCATTCGATGAAAACAATGGCCGACAATCGGAAAAGGCGGCCGCCTCGGTGCTCGAACAACCGAATAGCAACCAGTGCCACCCCCGTTCCTTATCGGTCGTCGGGAAGCGAATTTCGCATTAGCGATCGCGTCGATTCGTTAACGGAGAAACGCGCCGATAAATACGCGCAGATCGAGAAACGCGTGGGTAACGACGTCCGAGCGTAGCACCGGCTAACTTTAACGGTCGTAACATCGATTTTAAAAATCGAAACGACGCGAAGCGGTGTAACGCCCCGCTCGAAAAATTTTTGGTCGCCGCGTCGAGGAAAATATCGGCAAGGTTAAAAAGAAGAGAAACCACACCGGTGAACTGGTACCAACGTAGAAACTCGATTTCACCGCTCGGTCCGAACTCGGTCAGAAAGAGATTACTATAATCGCGATCAGTCCATGAAAAGCGACGCGAAGAAATCGAACGAACAACCGTCGAAACAAAGCACCGTTCCTCCCAAAACAAGCTTCCAGTGTCACACCCACATTCTAGACGTTACAGCCTAAACCGAACGTTCCATCCACCATCGAAACCCCGTTCGAAGCGTCGAAAAAACACTCGCGGACGGCACAAGTCGACCGATCGTTCTTCTTACGGATTCGCAGGACCTCGTCGAAATTTCCGATCGAAGCAATTTCTCGAAAGTTCGGCCCGATTCGAGCACCGAAGTACGACCCCGACTCGACTCTCCTACGAAGGAAACTTCGCCCCGAAAACCACAAGCAGCCACGTCATCTTGAACCGCTCGAACCGGAACACGCATACCCCGAGAACCCTCGGCCACGAACGCGCGCGATTCGCGCCCCGATCGACGTCGCCGATCTAGAAAAAAACGAACTCGGCGGGTCGGCGTCGCAGGGTGGTAGCTCGAAGATCGCTCGCGGTCGCAGAGATCCGACCTGGATCGGGCATCCGGAACGACCGAATTCCCTGACCGGAGGGCACGGATCGCGCGAAAGCCTGCTGGCCCGAAACCAGGGTGTCTACCTTGACTACGGAACTTTAGTAGGACAGCGGCATCGCTATGAATCATTCTCGCAGCCTACTCCCTTCGGGCCGGGTTTCTCGGCCCGGAGCGACTGTCCCACATCGACGACGGTCGCCGTTTCACGACTTCGCCGAGGGAGAGCACGCCCCGACTATCCGGCGCTGGAAGACGCGGCGCTAGGTCGCCGTCGTCGACGACGAGATCGCCCCGATGGGATCGTCGACGGGATCGCCGACACGCGGCCAGGACACGCGAGTTGCTTTTATCGCACGTGATCGTCGCTGCGGGTAGCCGCGCGCGCTTCTCGCGTATCCGAGGAACGAGCGTCTTCGAGGACGCCGACTATAGCAGGGTGCCCCGCGAACGCGTTCGTCCGCAGCCTGCAGCGGAGACAACGGGAACCGCCAACGGGTTTCGCCCGCTAACGATCGCCGCCGTGGACTACGACCAGCACCGAAAAGACGATCCACGACCACCCTCTGGAAGGTTCGCGCGCCGATCCCGATCCTCGACACCCGAGAGTCCCCGCCGACTCAACGGGGACGGGTTCCACTGTTCGCACCTTCTCTCCTGTCGGGATATCCTCTTGCTCCCGGACGTCTCTCCGGATCCTCGATCGGAGTGCCACACTACATCGACGCGGGGCCGACACGATATCGTCGTCGTCGTCGTCGTCGTCGTTGTCGTCGTCGTCGCCGTTACGGTATCGTACACTGATCGAAGAGCACCGATCGAGACCAGGGACACCGTTCTGGGACGCAAAGACGCAAGGACGCGTTCCGACGCTCGAGCACCACGACTACGCGCTGGACCACCCGGAGTCCACGATTCTCCGATTCCTTCCCTTCGCCGTCCTCTCTTCTCTCGTACTGTGTATACGCCGATCAACCACCCACCTCCTGCCCGCGCCCTCCCTCCCGCACGACCCCTAGATATAGTAGGATGCGGGGAGTTGCTGGGGTGGGATCAATATGAGGTTGAAACGCGGGAAATTCGCGCGCAGGTCCTTCTCCACCCTCCACCCTGCGTGCCGAGGCCACCCCTGGCTCCCCGCCCGTCCTCTCGCCGACACCCTCTGCCGCTCCTGCTCCGCCGCGAGGCCCTGTCTCTCCCGCACCCGCGCGCCAACCCTCTTCCGCCGACTTTTCCCACTACTACTTTCGCCGGGCTCGGCCCGTCTTTCTCTAGCCCGGGAGACCGGAAAGCTCGCCGTCTCCCTTCGCGAACGCGACCCCACCATCGCCGAGCCGGAGCTTCCCAGCTCTGCCTCCCTCGTCGTCCACACCGTGCCGGCCATACAAGCGTTTGGACACCGCCGGCTCCGTATTATTTAGCTTCTGTCCCGATTCTAACGCCGATGCGTCGCGCACCGTGAGCTTAACCTTTTAGGTACGGCTGAATTCTGCATTCTCTGGACGTCAGAGTCTGATGTGTACTGTACAGAGTCCGATACTGTATATACAGGGGATGTCCCAAGGATGTCTTGCAATCCGAAAGTGGCGGGTTCCTCGGGCCATTCGAAGCAACTTTTTCCTTTACAAAAATGTTCTCCGAGGCATTGTTAACGAGTTATCAACGAAAAACAGTGGCCAATAAGAATCGAGTACGGCCTGTCTCTTATACACATCTAGATGTGTATAAGAGACAGTCCCAAGGATGTCTTGCAATCCGAAAGTGGCGGGTTCCTCGGGCCATTCGAAGCAACTTTTTCCTTTACAAAAATGTTCTCCGAGGCATTGTTAACGAGTTATCAACGAAAAACAGTGGCCAATAAGAATCGAGTACGGCCTGTCTCTTATACACATCTAGATGTGTATAAGAGACAGGCCGTACTCGATTCTTATTGGCCACTGTTTTTCGTTGATAACTCGTTAACAATGCCTCGGAGAACATTTTTGTAAAGGAAGAAGTTGCTTCGAATGATCCGAGAAACCCGCCATTTCCGGATTGCGAGACATTTTTGGGACACCCTGTGGACTGTTGTAAATCGATGCGAAGACAAAAGAAGCGTGAAACAATGCGTACGAAGACGTTTATTTGGTTCAAACGATGAGCGAGCGAGCTACTAGAGCAAGCCACTATAGTGGCGCGTCGTCCAGAGTGATGACATCCGCGAAAGCCACTATAGTGGCGTGTCGTTCTGAAAGATGATATCCGCGGAAGCCACTATAGTGGCGCGTCGTGCCTAAAAGGTTAAAAGCGATCTCTTCGAGGCTCCCGAATCCGAAGGAAGGCTTCGCGATCTCTCTATCCGAGGATCGTTTCGTTCGCTTCCTCGGGGGCCCACCCTCTCTGCTCTCGACGACACCCTAAATCGGGGTCGCTGAAAACACGCGTAATTGCTATTCCGCGACCGCTCCGCCGGTCTCCGATCGAACGGCATTATAAAATTTGATGTACGCGTCGTTATCGGGATTGCCCTCGTGCGAAAAACGCGACGTTCCGGCATCGAGCACTCCACGCGAACGAGGCGACGCGTGATTTGGATCGAAAGGTCGAATTATTTATTCTCTTTTGATTAGAAGCTCAAAGGTTATTCCGCGTTGCTCGCCTCGTCGAAGCTTCTACGACGTCGTGTTGAAGCGAATTAAGCGGCTTCCTTTGGACCTCGCTTTCGGTCAAGATTCGACGTTGAAAAATTTACGAACGATTGCTAATTCAGTTATTGCGCGATACGCGGAAATAATGATTTCTTAGCTGCTTCGATTAGACTAGCAATTTATGGAATCAAAGTGAAGGAGAGATAAAGGGATTCGAAAAGGGACAGAAAGGAACTGTTCGGATTACAAAAGGTTAATCAAACTGGAACTGCAAAGGTCAAATGTGTCCTAGCGACTAGACATTTGACCTTCCTGGATTCGTTAAATGTCAAGCGCACCGCGCGAAATTGTCGAAATTATTCGTCGAATTATTATTGCAAACAAACTGTTGCGCGCGTCCCGGGATAGCAATTTTTATTCAAATCGAGATTCCCGGACCGACGCGTCCTCGCATTTTTCTCGTGGATTCGGGGATCGCAGACCCCTCGCGACGCCACGACTAGCATTCGAACCTGTTTTCCACTCTCCCCGAACGGAGAATTCCCTTCGAGGAGGCTCGAGAAGCTTTTTTCAACGATTCTCTGTTGCCAGCGCTGTGGCCAACCCTCCCGCGGGGAATTGCGTTGTCGAAGCGGCTCGCCTAGGAGACGGAACAGAGGCGAATCGTGGACGAATGATTATGGCGATATTGATTTTCCGGATGCCCCGGTCCGTCGAGACCTTTCCGCTTTCTTCGTTGCAGATCGGAGCTCGAACAGAGGCTGATCCCGGATCGGGAGATCGTCGAACCGGCGAGAACGAGCCGGAAGTTTCCGGACGGAGCCCCTGTTTCGGATAATTGGCCGATCGAATCGAGGAGCCACTCGATTATGCGAAAGCGCGTCGGGTATCGCGGCCTGGACTGTGGAGGATTCTAGGACGAGATGCTCGGTCGCCAGAGTCCACAATGTAGAACTAGGCGAGCTCGATGAATTTTCGATGATTCGGGGGAAGGAGCACGATGTCGTGTTAACCTTGGAACAGGTTACGCGAACGCAGCGACGTCTTCTTCAAGAAAATGTAAGTGTTAACCAGTTAGCTGTGTTCGACGAGTATACTCGTCGTCGCTCGATTCTCGCGACACATATAGGTGCGCGCTCTGAAATGGAGGCGCCACAGCTAACTGGTTGATATTAGCTAATTAAAATGATCGAGACGCGAAACAAACGTCAACGCAGCTCCTTGCAACTCGTGCAATTTTTATTCCGCGTAAAACTCCGCATTCCGATCGTAACACGCGTTCGCGATGAAACTGATAACACCTAATGTTCATTTTATAGAATATTGTATAACTCTTGGCGGTCGAATGGTCGATTAAAGGTTCAATGCCCGCAACGCAGCGTGAACAGACTACAGCAGGGGTGTCAAACTCAAAAGCTAACTTGGGCCATAATAATAAATAAACAATGCTTAACTTTAGGTGGGCCGCAAAAAAAAAAATCAATGTTCATAGAAACAAATATTTTATAAATAAATATTATAATATAATTATAATATATTATATAAAGTTAAGTTATTGTTTACGTCCTGATACTTGACATCAAAAATGTTCGTCTCGGGCCGTGAGTTTGACAACCCTGGACTACAGTAATGTCTCCCTAATTGACGCTCAGATTGTCCACAAAAATAGACAATTTGGGAAGAGGAGATACGATTAATTCGAGCCTTCTAGCACGTTTTCATAGTTGCTGACAATTCGCGACTATAAAAATGAACCGTAAGGATCGAGAATAATCGTATCTCCTCTCCCTAAATTGCCCATTTTTCTGGACAATCTGAGCGTCAATTAGGGAGACATTACCGTGTGCATCGAATTTAACGTTGACCTTTGGAGTATAAAAATAAAAGAACGTTTCGAACAAGATCAAACATCGTGTAAAATTATCAAGGGGTCGAGTGAGAAGTTACTCGTAGGTCGATTCGACCGGAGGTTCGATTCAGAGGATAGATTCGGAAGGCAGAGATCGATCCTCGATTCGCCGCTGCGTCGAATTTCCGCCGAGTGAAATTTTCCCGAGCAACGATACGGTGTCGTGAATTTTTTACGCGACCTTTGTAAAATTCTGCTCCCGAAGGCCATCGAGATACGAGTTCGCAAGTTATTTACCTTCCTGATATCTTTGTACGGAGAGCGTTTTATAAAATGCGGGATCGTTTCAAAGGAAAATCGAGCGCATAAATACGATGCGAACAGTTTTTTTTTCCCTCCCCCCGAGTATCAATCCCTCGATATTATCGTACGAGCCGTGGAATACGTGAATGGTTAAAAAAAATAAAAAAACGGAAATAAAAACGCATCGAGCTCGGAAGCTAATGAAAAAATATTCCCTGCGTACACGTAAACCTATTTGCAAATTCGTTTTATCTCCGGAGTAATTTCTACAGAGTGTTTTATGAAGCGCCCCAACGATGCGGAAAACTGTTTTCCGAGAGACGGACCATCGGGTATTAATTGAATTTATACGAACGAGTTATCGCTGATTACTATATTGACAATTTCTCCGGGATTAATTGCGAGGCATGAACTTTATGCTTCGACGAACCGCCGACTCTCTCCCTCTCGCTCGCTACCTTTCTCTCGCTCTCCTTTCGAGTAACTTTATAAAGGAAAACGATCGAACGAAGTTAGATTACATTTACACCATTATCGGCCGCGCATTTCTCGGTGCCATTTTCGCGAAAATTCTCATTAAACGTTACGGGTTGAAATTTCTGGATAAATATTCGCTCGATGTTATAGCAAAGCGGAGTTAGCCGCGGTCGTTGCCGCGCGGAAAAGTTGTTTACGTTTTACCAGCCGCGAATTGCGAAATATTCGCTGGCGAACTTTGCGCGCGCAATCGCGACGCCGGTGGTTCGTTTACGTAAAACAGATTTCATCTCGATGGGTAGGTATCGCAAAATGGTAACGAGCGCCGCTTAATTGCGGCATTGAAACTACACGAAAAAAAAAGAAGGGAAAAAACGTTACATCGTTCCGTGTGCAAAACTAATTCTATTACGACACGCGAATGCTGGCGTAATTCGCGGTATAACTAGATTACGAAAAATTGTAAATGTCTGGCATTTTC